AAAGAAAGAAAGAAAGAAAGAAAGAAAGAAAGAAAGAAAGAAAGAAAAAGAAAGGTGCATACTGCTGAAGCATGCCATTGTAGAGCAAGGGTAGATAATGCACAAGCAAATCTTCAGCTGGCACCAAATAAAATTACAGAGTGTTGATTGTAGTTTGTTATCTATTTGGTTTCTATTTGGTTTAACCTTTAAGGCAACACTGTCTCAGAGTAGTTCCCTTCCTACAACAGAATTAAAGGAACAACAGTTCCATTAAGTACTTGCAGAGAAAAAACTGTGTAAGATGCAAACTGGGGATGGGGAAAGCAAGTTGTGACTGCAACCTAGAATGGAGAAATAGTGCAAAATTGTTCTGATTGCGGCCTTTATGACCATCTTATTTGATCTTTTGAACTGCGTTAGTTACCCTTAAGTTAAAGCTTCCACCCCCCCATCTTCTCCTTGATGCCAGGAAGATAAGAATGCCACCATTCTATAATGCAAAATGTGGGGGCTTTTTGTGTAGAAAGAACAAACGTCTTCACCATTTTTAAAAGGGAACTTCTGAGTCAGAAACTCTTGCATCTGGTTCAGGGAGAAAGAGAGAGAGAGTGGGTGGAGAAGCCAAGCAGACCCTGACTCATCAAAAGCAGCTTCTCGCAGCTTTGGGGGCTCCAAAGGAAATGAAATCACTTCTAGAGGGAGAAGAAGGGGAGGGGGTGCGAGGGTCCAGGAGGCAAACTCAAGACGAAGTTAATAAGGTGGGGGGGGGGGGGGCGCGACACAAGTTGAAGAAAACCATATACTTGGCGGGGTGGTGGAGGCAAGGGGAGGTGTGGGGCCGCCCCAACGAGACAAAAAGTCGCGCATCAGGACTGGGACTAAAGGAAGAGCGAAACAAAAGCGTCAGCCCCCATAACCTATAAACGACTTTGTCCTTTTCATTCGGACTGCGGTCTTCTCTTCAGAAGAAAAACCTCTAAAACTCTCCCTCCCTCCGGGCGGGTAAACGTTCAGAGGATCGGGCGCTGCGCTGACGTTAAGCGAAGCCTGAGGGGACTTGCTTCTGCGCCAGTATGTCTCGTGCAACTTAAGGCGGCGGCGACGACTTCCTAGGACCTCGCCCTGCGCAGGACTGCCTCTACTTCGGAGGAAGGGAGGCCGGAGTAGGTAGGACCGACCCTAGGGTAAAACGAGGGCCGAGCCGGCCTCCTGGACAAGCGGAAGCTTCGGGTCCCGCTCAGCGCGCATCCCCCGCCCCCCATTCCGTCGCCGGCCTCCCCGATTGCCACATTCCCCGAAGAGTGAGCTCAGCTGTTAGCTCAGCGCAGCCTCTCTCCTTTTATGGTCAAACGCTTGGGCAGGGGGAGGCTCTTTTCGGCAGCCTTGGGGCTCCGGCGGCTCGGCTTTCCTCCGCCCCGTCAACTCCCCTTCTTGGCAAGCCAGGCTTGCTTAGAAAGTTGCGCTCGGGCCAGGCAGGCAAAGACGCCTGGCCACGGGCAAGCACCGCCAGAAGCTGCCATCCGCGGCGCTTCGCCTGCCGGAGAAGACGCAAGAGCGCCTTCTAAAGTCCCGCGGAACCCCGGAGCGGTTTTCGGTTCCTGAAAGGGTAAGGTCGCCTTTCCCTGAGGAGGAGGAGGAGGAGGAGGACGCCTGCGGTGCCGGAGGGCGCGAGCGGCTGCCACTTTTTCTCGGGGCCCTGATTGGTCATTCGAGGGCTAAAATCGTCCGCTTTGCCCTGGAGGGCGGCTGGGCGTGCTTGCTTGCTTGCGTGCCTCCCCGTCGCGCGCGACAAGCTAGGCGAAGGTTATGCGTTTATGTAGCCGGCAGGAGCGGCGAGTACTTCTCCTGGAGGGTCCACGGGGGGTGGGGGAGGGGGGGGGAGAGCGCCTCAAGTGTGAAAGGAAGACTTGGCGAGGCTGGGGCCGAAAGAGAAGGACGGGATTCTGAGGAAAGGCGCCTCTCTCGGGAAATGTTGACAAATTAGGGGGCGCCCTTTTCGGACTTTCCTGCGACCCCTCCCCAGCGAAGGGGCAGTATCCCCCCTCAGCCGACTCCCCTTCTTTGTCTTGGAAAGTTCCGCCAGTCGCTGAAAGCTGAGCCGCGGGCTGGGAATTGTTGCCTGCTTTAAGCTCAAGCCAGGCGGAGGGAGGTGGGGGGGCTCTGCAACCCCGCGCCCCCGAGCGCTTTTCCAGATGTGTTTAGATAGCGGAAAGAATCTGCAAGTTCTTGTCGGGACGGCAACTCTTGCGTGACTTGTGAGTCCTTCCTAGAAAGACGGTTAGTGTTGCCGCTTGTTTTTCCGGATTGTTTCTTTTCTCCTTTTTTTTTGGGGGGGGGGGAGGGGGTGTCGTCGAGTTTTACAACCGCCGCAATGAAAAAATAAATAAATAAATAAATACATTGGGCTGAGTGACTTTATCTACATACATGGTAAACACTGACATCCTCTGCAATCTTAATATAACTTTAGGGTGTTTTTTTTGCCCAGAACTTTTCTGCAGTCTCTCTCTTAACCAAAAAGGCACATGATTAACAATGAAAAGGAGTGGAGAGAGGGGAAAAAAGGGAGCAGATGAAGAATTCAGGCAAGATGTTTGCAATTGCTATTATTTATTACTACCCTGTTTCCACTGAGGACCATATGTGACACTCCATCCGCTCACATAATTGCCATTTTTATATATCAGTATTGAGAATTCAGAGGTGCACTTAGTGTACAATCCCACCTCCAGAGTGTCATTAATCCTAACTAGATCTACTTATCCTAGATCTTCTGGCTTCTGCTGTTCCAAAATCGATTGGGGCAATAAAGTTGAATTGTTGGCATACTTCAGGCACACTTTGCGAACTGCCAGGCCAACCCCACAATCTACATATGGCAGGGATGACTTAGAACAAGGGTAAACATCCTGCTTGACTGTCTGTCTCTAAGAGAACCAGAAGTTTGTCATGCATCCAAGTAGAGACATAATCCATGACACATATGCTGTATTGTGGTTGATAGATCACAGGTCACAAAGTCCTGTCTAGGAAGCAGACACCAACCTGGATATGTCTGAGTCCTGAAGGTATCCTAAATTGGCTTGCATTTCCAGAACTGAACATATTCGTTGGGAAGTTCTAATGTCCTGTAAGTAGGGCTGTTACCAGAAAGGAACTGAAATTAGGAAGTTGTGAAAAAAAAAAGTTTCAGTTTTAAAAACAAAGCCTTCACCCTTTTCCTTGGCCCTTAGTTACTGCATATATTGAATGTTTCCCAATCTTTATTATTTATTTATTTGATTTGTCAATCGCTTACAAAATAATAGGTATAAGTATAAATATGAGTAAGAATACAGAAAAGAGGTACGATTAAATGGGGACAATAGGATAAGGGATGGGAGGCACGATGGGGCACTTATGCACGCCCCTTAATCTAAAGAAAAGCCATGCTGTTATTGGTTTTCTAAATACCATTCTTCCTCCCAACGGAGCCCAAAGCAATGCACACATTTAAAATTATCCTTAATGAAACATCCCACCAGTATTAGAAGATTGTACGACTGTAACTTTGTCGCTTGTATCCTTACGATTTATATTGACTGTTTCCTAGTATGATTTGATTGCTTACTGTGCCCTATGACTATCATTAAATGTTGTACCTTATGATTCTTGACGAATGTATCTTTTCTTTTGTGTACACTGAGAGCATTTGCACCAAGACAAATTCCTTGTGTGTCCAACCACACCAATAAAAAAGAATTCTGAATTCTGAACACTACAGAAATCAAAATGAAGGGCATTTATAACAGTAATATATACTTGTGATAGCAAGCTATGTGGTAAGACTATGTAGTTCTGGAGTGGTTGTGCAGTGAAGGACCACATGATCATACAAGCAAATAAGCTATGACTCTTCAAGTGGAATGCTTTTCTGTAGCAGACCCACTAGAAATCTTATTTTATAATACAGACTTTGGGAGAGATATTAGACTCATTCTTTACATTGGGTGGAGATGCTTATTATGAGTACATATTCAGTGGTTGACCACTAGATACTTGAAACAGCACTGAAGCAGGATGGGTGGTCCAACCGCTCCTAGCATGGTGTCCTTTGGAGTTTTTCTGGCTGTAACTCCACAGTCTCTTATTACTACTGGTGATGACTGAGGCTAAAATGAAGTCCAGCATCTCTGAATGAGGAAGACTGGTATTGTTGAAACATTAAGATCACTTTGCTGTGTCATATCAATATACATTTTGGAACTGATAAGGCTGAGTGTTTCTAACACTTCTCATAAGCTGGGCACAAAGGCATTTAATATTTAAAGAAGAACTTCCCGGTCTTGAGATGGTTTTTGCTGTTGTGTTTTTGCTCTAAAATGAGATGAATCCTTTGAACTGAGGGTATATCGATATGTTTAATATTTCATTAGCAACTATTTTAACAGTTGTATGCATTTAACAATTATACAGACTGGCTGCAGGACTGTGTGGGCCATTCCCACTTTTTTTTTTCTGCCTGAATCTTTCTTGCAATCTTGCTTCTTTGCCAACAAACGAAACAAAAGGCATAGGATTAGCAATGAGCAATTAGCAATGAACATTTGGTGGGAGTGGTGAGGAAAGAAGGAAGAGAATGTTGGAAGTTATTGAAAAGAAGAATTCATGTAATATGGTTACAAAGCCAATTAAGGAAAGGGAAATATGCTATTGTCATACCTTCACAAAGGGCCATTGAAGTTGTGTTTCTCCATAATTTTTATATATCAGTATTTAGAATGTTATTTCTTGTTTAAAGAAGTAGTATTCTGTATTTCCAGCCTACCTAAGGGGAACAATGTAATTGCAGATACCCCATGATTAATTGGACCTTTGTTTAGTGTATTTGGGTTGCTACAGATAAAATGTATTAATCATGTTATGCATAATACTATTTTTCACATGCATAACATCCCATTCGCCTTTTAATGGACATTCAGATGTAATGGAATCTCTTCCTCTATCAGACCACAAAATCAAAGGAAATGCAGATGAAAATTAAATAGAGTTTAGCTTTTTGTATAGCTTGTATGTTGAACCAACTCTTATGGAGTGGAATTTTTGTCTGTCTTCAAAGCATTTTGATAGAATTCGTTTACTGTAATTCTCCATGGAAGGAATTCTTCAGGGCGGTGGAAACACTTGAGGATTTATTTTTTGTTTACTTTGAAAAAGGCAGAATTTGTAGGAAGGAGAACTTAATTTTCAATCTTTGGCGCGATAGAAAGTATAGTTACTTTTGTAGAAATTCTAAGCAATTTAAAACGATCTGCGTGTGCAGTTTGCACTGATTTGAAGGCAGTTTGTACTACTAAAAAGTACTCCACTACCTCTCACTCTTTTAAACCCAAAGCTTTAATTTGGTTGACCAAAAGCCATTAAGGCAATTGTGTTGCCACCCTCCCAAATAGCTGTTCTGGAGCCTAGAGATATAATAACTGGTTGAGACTTGCTCACATGAGAAATATTCTCCCCTGCCTGTTGCTTGCCCATATGAACATTATAACTCGCTCTTATGTTGGCTCTTGTTTGGTTTCTTAAGCACAATTGAATTCCTTTTATCAGTTGACCTTGGAAATGGAGTGTCTCTTGAGAGACCAGTTTGCAAAATGTAGTGTTTGACTTAGTGCTGGTGGAGGCAAGAAAGGGGATAAGATGGGCAGGGCAGCTGCAATTCGAAAGCGGCTTGCTGTGGGGGAGAGCGAAGGGTTTGGAACAGTTGCTCATGCTATGCAAGTGTCTTTCTGGGACAGCTGACTCCCATAGTCTTTGTATCAATGTTGAGCCTTTCCATTTGTATGTAATCCGGTTCTGCCATCTCTTGGAAGATTGGTCAAATAAAGTCTGAAAAGTTGGTAAAGCAGAACCTTTTGTTTAATGTAACTCAGGAAAAAAAAAATGTAACTCAGGAAAAAAAATGATGTGGACTTTAATAATGAAGTAGGATGAAGAGAGGAATGTTTACAGGTAAGGAAAAATCCTTAGGACTTGAAGAGAGGAACTGCTTCTAATGCATTTCTTACTGTTAGACAGGAACTAATATGAGCTACACATATACAACGGCTACACATATACAAGCAAGTTCCCATGTCTCAAATCCTAAGAAGGTCAGTGGAATGGTAACTATTCTGGGTTTTAAAGTCTAATAATCATGATTATAATAATATAAGGGATCAGCCTCAAACCCAATTGAACATAATGAATAAGGAAAGTCATATGGCTCAGCATGAAAACTGATTGAATTTGGGTTTGTTTTTCTGGAGTCAGAATGTTAAAGATACCTTCTTGTATCTTAAAATGATCTGATATTGATGTGGTTCTTGAGGGTGCACTTCTAATAGTGGCTGCATTTTCATCCTTTTGACTGGCTGGGTGTAAATGTACCCGTAAAATGAGTAATTTGCAATTCTTAACAAATAAACAAATAATCTCAAAATGTGTGTTAATAAAGCCCCTGGTAGTAAGATATGGTCTGTCTATGTCTGTGTATCATTATTTAACAAATTTATATAGCTCTTCATGTACCAGGGGACTTCCGGGTGGTGAACAAATGGTACCACATTTGTGGTAAAACATAATACTTGATTGTATCATTAAAAAAAGTGAAGTCTGGGTCACAGTAAGAACACCTTACCAAAATGTATTCCCCCTCCACACATGTTGGGCTCCATTGACATCTGGAAAGCAAAATCTTCACAGCCCATCCCGAACCGAGGGGAAAAGTTGATCCCTAAGGCAGGTACCATGCAAGAAAGCATACCTCCTGCTACCAGGTGCCATTGCTTCACTGAGCATGTCCCCTCTACTGGATGTAGTGGGGTGGGCAGAAATTATTGTGGCTAGACAGTCCTGCGAGTAACTTGACCCCTTGCTATGTATGGCTTTTAGCACTTTGAATTGCATCCCAAAGCCTACTGGGCATCAGTATAGCTCACTACTGCACATGGTGGATTCGCTACACATGTTGTAACATTCTGGACCCAGCCGAAACTTCGGCGTGCTTTTTAAGGGCAGACCCATGTAGAGTGCATTGCAGTAGCCCATCTGAGAGGTGATTAGGGTGCGAGTGTTCCTGAGCAGTGCCTCCAATCTAGGAATGAATAGAATTGGCACACAAGGTTGCAAAAGTTTTCCTGGCCATAACTGCCCCTTCTCTTTGAGGAGGAACACCAGATTGTACAGGAGTGTTACCCAACCAGAGTTAACAATGAAACATTACTAAACAAGACGGATGTCCCACAGTCCCATAGTTTTGTCAGGGACCAGGTGGAGGCTATTCTCCCTCCTCCAGACCTCCACAGCCTCCAGGCACCTTGATGACATCACCTGGACACTGATATGTATACTCACATACAGTATAATATACTGATAAAAAAAAAATTTTTTTGTTTTAACTGCGGGCCTTTAAAGAAACACCCTTCCCAGAACCGTTGCTGTGCTTTAAACTGCACAGGCAAGCATTTGATGTTTTAAAAGAGGATTAGTGTTCTATTCATTTAAATCGGTCTGGTAAAAGATGGTGCTTTCTGCCTGGGAACAGTATTGCAAAGCAACCTTTTTTTTTTTAAAGAAAACTAAAAAAAAAAAAATCCAAAAAGCTACCCGTGTCAAGGTTGCAGCTGATAATTGGCTGCTGTGTGTGCCTTGGCTTCAGCAGCAGAAAAGCCCAACAGCAGGGTGTGCATGCTCCAGGGCAATCTCTGTACTACTCAGTCTGGGGAGGGAAGACTTGTGACTCCAGGAACGTGTCAGCACGGCTGGTTGGGTCTAGGAGCTGCTTCCTGTGTGGGTGGGTGGGGGGAGTGGCAGCACCGAGAGCTGAGAGGCAAGGATGCTGCCCGAGAACGCTTGTGACGGGAAGGACCAGGCAGGACAGACCAGCTGCAGGACGGAAGAGGAGGGGGCAACGGGGCTGCCTGTGGATATCGGGGGCTCCAGGGGCTGCCTCACAGATGCCAGCGCCATGGAGACAGACAGGTTTCCTTTTGTTCTTCTCCTATCCGTTGCCAAATTGCCTTTGTGTTGACCGGGCGATAGGCAGCGCCTTGAGGTGAAGCAAGCAGAGAGAAGAGCGTGAAAGGCCAGGAAGGAGGAGGTGGACAATTCTGTTATCTGCATTAAAATGGGTAGAAATGTGGAGCGTCATCCTCTTAAACCCTGTGCCGTAATGTACACAGAGCTCTATTCTCTCTTGCATGCAGCTGCATTGACTTCCATGCATGCCTATTAAGAGGGGAACCTACCCTTTCAGGCCTGTGGTTGGTTCTGTGGCCTTTATCCATCTTTCCCCATGTTCCCAAAATATATGCAGGAAGGAAATCCAGGCCTGGCTTTTTTCCTCACCCTAATCGGACGCTGAGGCTTATCTACACTTTGGACCTTGTTTATTTGTTCCTTGTATCCTGCTTGCCTCTGCCTTTCATTTTTAACACACATCCCCTTTCCTTTCCCCTTTCCATCTTAAAGACTTTCATTCATCCTTCGGGCACCAGACTCCATGCCACACCTGCCTTGCTCGTGACTGATAGGAGGCCTTTTCTTTCTTGCCCTCCTTGTCTAGGTCCTGTGTCACACTCAGCAAGATGGCCTCATCCGGCGCCCCAGGAACCCGCATGACCTCTACTGTCAGCATCAACATCTCCACTCCAAGTTTCTACAGCCCCCAGAAAAAATTTGCGCCTGTCGTCGCTCCTAAGCCCAAAGTGAATCCCTTCAAGGCCGCTGGACCGGTTCCAGAAAATGCTTCTGAGCAGAGGTTGCCTCCGGCTGCTGGAGCATGTGCCCAGATAGGAAAAGTGGGGGAGATCCCCATAGCTGTGACTCTGCCCCCAGCAGAAGGTAAGTGATCCTTGCCGTCTTCTATTGGGAAAAGCAAAGAACACTCGGTCAAAGAACAAGATGGAAAGGTGGCGGTGGCAGGGGTGTCGTGGTGGCGGAGGAGGAAATCGCTCACAATCACATCGATGTCCTAGTTTCCAGGTTAGAAGAAGGTGTGGATCTCTATTTTTTAAAAAAGTGGTACAATCTCCGTGAGGGTGTGGCTGCCAGATCTTTGCTGAGTGAGGAATGAGAAAGCAATCTCAAACAGGAGAGTTGAGGGATGACTCTCCATGATTTGCCTCTGAATCATCTGGAATATTATATCCCTCAATGGTACAATGCTAGACTTATCGGAGGAGCATCAGAGAATTAGCCTGCTGGGATTGAAGGCAACTGTCTTCATCGGAAACTTAACAAGTGGCCTTGGGCTAACCTTGGATTCTTAATTTGACTGTCTCTCTTCCTTGCCCACAGTAGTAATAAATGAATATAGTCAAGGGTGATGTAATGTTGAGGCATCTATTGATAGTAAGAGTTCTACCCCAAGTTTCAAAAAAATTAGTTGAATATTCTGGTTCTGGAATGCTGCCAAGAGATGCTTGAGTTATAGGGGGGAGAGAGTGTATGTGGATGTCCTTCCATCTGCCTTCCTAATTCTAGATTGCAACTATTTGGTACAAACTGTACATGTAGAGAGAGGTTAATTATTGCATAGGTCAGCAGTCTGCACCATTCCCCAAATCATCAGGGCTCTCCCTATTTAGGGAAAAAGTTAAGCCTTAAAACAGATGTGTTAAGGCTCTGGGAGGTTAAATACATCTGTATTTTGAATTTGCTTCCCCCAGCCTCCTCAAAGGCCTTTGGGTACGCTTTCTGCAGCCTTCAGAGTGCAATAGTGGTGGTGGTGGGAATCTCATCTGAATTTTTAAATTTATATTTGAAACCCAAGTTCATATTTGGACAGCAAAAGTCCCGAGCCAGTTTTATTTAAGTAGGACCTTTTAATTTACTTGTACTTCTGTGTTTGCATATATTCCTTTGTTGCCATAGTTGTTTTAACCCCTTTTTCTAGTCCCCAATTTATGACCACAATTAAACCCAAAGTTTCCACTGCTAAGCAAGACCGCTGCTAAGAGAATTTTATAACCTTTCTTGCCACAATTCGTTAAGTGAATGACTGCACTTGTTGAGTTAGTAACTTGGTTGTTAAGTGAATTTGGCTTCTCCATTGACTTTGCTTCTTAAAAATTTGCAAAAGGTGATCACCCAGAACTTTGCAACTATCATAAATACATGCCAGTTGTCAAGTGCCTGAATTTTGATCACGTCACCACTGTAAAAAAAAAAATCACCTTTTTTCAGTGCCATTGTAACTTTGAATGGTCACTAAATGAATAGTTGCAAGTCAAAGACTACCTGTATTGTTAAGTCATTTTCTTTGTTTTCTTTTTCCTTCAGCTCCACATTAAGAATGTTATTGTCTAACAGAGGGCTTTCTGGTCCTTTGTTTCTTTAAATACACCTTTAAATAGGATACTGTCTTCACTATTTAGTTTCAGATACCCTTGGAATTCAAGTCACTTATTTTTGCCCTAGTAAAGTTGACAGACGCTCGACAGCATGTCGTTGACTCTATAGCTGGGCTTGGGCAGTATTAAAATTTCTTCTCTGACTATAAAAAAGAAGTTTACATATACTTTCATCTCATCTGAGGAAACCTAAGAAAATGTGTGCTGAATGAAACCCTTGCTTCTTCCTCAGCCCTGCTGTGGAGAGGCACATTTGAGGCTCTGAACAGCCTTCAAACAACCCCACACCCCTCTACACCCCCACACTTTAATACACACACAAACACACATATGCACAACCTGGGAGATTTAAAAAAAAAATTATAATAGAAATGACTCTGGGATGACTTGGTCATAATGTACAATTAAGCGTGTTCAAAACTGTAGGTTTATCTGAATAACTGATTTTTCCCCTAATTCATCGTTTAATGTTTACAAACATTAAAAGTGGCTTCTTGATTGGCTTCTTTGTTATCAAAAATAAATGCCTGATTGCTATTTACTAGTATAATTGAATATATGCCAGAATAATACTTGATCCTTGAGATGTCACAGCTCCTATGGCTTTTCAGTTAGTATTTGAATCCCTGGGGCTTGTATCCCAAATCTAGCTTTTGTATGATTTTTGCCTCTTCAGCCTGAGGCAGATATATATATTGCATGAATATGTTTGTTTTTCATATTCATACCCTGTTATTGCTGATGGGACCTCTCTGGAAGCACACTGACATTTTAATTATAAAGTACCCTTGGGATATCTGCATGTGAAACAAGTCAATAGGACAAACTATCCATATTAGTAATTAATGACTTGGTTTATCTTTCTAATCGGTGAACAGTTGAAATCCAAAGGAAGGTTCCTCCTCAGTCACATTTTCTTTAATGGGAATTAGGAAGGGAAGAGACAAATATTGTCAAGTTGAAGGAAGAACAATAGGGCTTTATGGATACAGACTTGAGCATTTAGGAAGGCTACAGAGGGAAAGGAAACTAGATACAGAAGTGGTTAATGTTTCCATAATGGGAATGACCTAGCATTTGTCCACAATGATAAGCCAAATAAAGAATCAAGCCTGGGACCTAGCACTACTTATTCATGATTAAGGGATAATTCTGACTTACAATTTGCAAGAACAAGAAAGCTAGACTTGATAATTTCCTCTAGGTTTAACCAAATTAGTAGAAAATTCACTTTGATTCTCTTTTCCTAGTCTAGAAATGTGCAAAAATGCATTAGTTTGATGTAGCGGAACCTATTCCGTTCATTCATGACTTGAAATATTTGGCCCCTAAAAACGTCAGGTTTTGATCCCTGCTAGGGGCAGGGGGGGTAAGTAAAATAACAACGTAATTGTATGAATGCTAGAAAGAATACCACTGTTGTGGCCCGCCAGTGGCCAGCAGAGCTGGCGGCAGACTCGGACAGTGAGGAGGTTGGGGAGGAACATGGGCCAGTCCTGGAGTCTGGGGAAGGGTCTGATGAGTGCTCTGTTGAGGCAGAGATGGGGCCAGGACCCTCCGACAGTTATTAGCTGCCTTTGGAGTCAGAGATCAGTAGGGCAGAAGAATAGCTGGAGCCTGTTCCCGATGTCCACATGCACAGAACTGCCAGGAGAAGGGAACAGTTAAGGAACAAGGGTTGACTTGGGAGTAAAGGCACAGGTGGATGGTGCCAAGCTTGATAAGGTCTGTGGTTGTAATTCACCCTTGAAAGACTGTTTGCCAGGACTTTGCTGGATGTGAATGACAGGAATTCATATTATCCTAATAAAAAGGGGTTTTGTCAGGACAAGGAGTCTGCTTTGTGATTTTGTGACGCCTAGGTCAGAACAACCACTCCTAGTGCAAAAGAGTTAGATGGTATTTTGAGTCGTATTTTAGTGATAGTTTGGATAATCTTTAGGTTAAAATGATAAGATTGTCCCTGAACTGCAATGGGAACTTTACACTTTACAATATTTGAGGAGCTCCTACTATACAATGACGAGGGGGTCAAACTATTTTCCAAAACATCAAAAGGCAAGATAAGAAGCAATGGATAGAAGCAACCTAGAATTAAGGAGAAATTTCCTAACAATGAGAGCAATCAACCAATAGAACAACATGCATTCAGAAGTTGTGGGTGCTAACATCACTGGAGGCTTTCAAAAAGAGACTGGACAATCATTTATCTGAAATGATAATAGGGCACTGTTGGCGAACCTCTTTGGCACTGAGTGCCCAAAGCACACACGCACATAGCCACAATGCAATGCGCGTGCATCCGCGCACATGTGCATATGTCCCCTCGCAAGTGCGTGCATCCTGCACGTGTGCCCTGTGCATGCCCCCTGCCCCTCACATGCAGTCTCTCCCACATGCGCCCCATCCCTCCACATGCATCCCTCCCTCTGCATATTCACGGTAGAGACCCAAAGACCAGCTGGCTGGGGGGAGGCGTGTGCTCATGCACAACAGAGGTGAGCTGGGGCCATGGCTCATGTGCCCAGAGAGAAGGCTCTGTGTGCCACCTCTGGCACGTGTGCCCTAGGTTCGCCATCACGGATATAGGGCACTGTTGGTGAACCATTTTGGCACTGAGTGCTGAAATGGGAGCGCACACGTGTGTGTCCCGGAAACCAGGAGAGCAGCCGTGCACTGGGTAGATGAACTTCCAGTTTCTGGCATGCACACCGGCCAGCTGGTCTTTGCACATGCATGAGTGCCAGAAACCGGAAGACCAGGTGGCCGGCCGGTGCACATGCGCGTGCCGGAAACCAGAATATCATCTTCCCAGTGTATGCATGCTCACCAGGTGTCTGCTCTTCTGATTTCCGGCGCTCCCGTGCATGTGCAGATGAGCTGGCCAGCGTGTCGGAACCCGGAAGAGCAATGGCTTGCGTGCCTGGAGAGATGGCTCTGCATGCCACTTCCGGCATCTGTGGCAGGTTCGCCATCATGGATATAGGCTTTCCTGCTTGAGCAGGGGTTGAACTAGAAGATCTCTAAGGTCCCTTCCAACTCTATTATTCTGTGTTCTCTGTTTACTTGCAAGTAATTGCAGTTGAGGTGATTAGGAGAATGGAGAAAAGTCTGTGTTTTTATCCTATCTTTGGTCTGCAATTCTAAAATCACTTGGTTCTAAATAAATGCCATGATTTTAGTTTCTGGTCAACTGGCATAACTGCTTTCCAAAAGTCTTGTATTATATTAATTTGTGAGCCTACCTAAATTTTGCTGGGATTGGGACAGATTATAAATATTACAAATATTAAATGAGGTGGTAAAGAAATCCGAATTGAGCCCTGAAATCACTTGCTGATCAGTAGTGACAAAAGCATGCATAATCCAAGCAAGAATATTGTCACTGTGGATAGATCCAATATAGTTGGAAGCTTTTGTTTGCTTTGATATGGGGATAATTTTGGGCTTTATATGTTAGCAACAATTTAACTTGCCTGAAAAATAAAG